CCGCAGACGCGCGAGAGGACTGGACCTCAGACGGGGGCAATCCAAGTGCGCTGTGGCCCCAGGTCCCCGCGCTCAAGACTCCAGGTTTGAACAACGTGCGAGGCCTACCACGCAGCTTTGGCAAGTGCTGCAACTTACGAGCTCGCCTACATGCCGCCCCCCTACGAAGCCGAACCTTGAACGTGCGCCTCCTCCGCCTCCCAGCCGTGGACATCACCTCCCAAATCCTCGACCGCCTCCGGATCCCCGACAGGGAACCCAAATGCGCTCGAAGGCGGATCTGGCCTAGCAAGTGAGGCGAGAATGCAATCACGGCGCTCCACGCGGAGATTCGAAATCCAACGGCCGCTACGCCCTCGGAAAAAGGGGAGGGCAGCAGCGGGAGCGGCACACGTGACGGGCGTGATTGCACCCTGCGCATACTGCGCGGCATCATCATCATCATCATCATCATCAGCACCATCATCATCATCACCATCATCATCATCATCATCAGCAGCATCGTCATCATGATCATACGACGGCGACACGCCCACGCGCGGCACACGTCAATGCGCACGACGCAACACGTCACACAGCAGTGCGCTCACCCGCAGCAAAGACTGCGCACGACCAGCTAGACATGGAACCACCTGCGGGAACGATTTCAGGGAGCGCACCTTCCACTTCCAAGACGCGCGGGCGCGCGTGCGCGATGAGGCCTACATGCAGCACCTGCGAACGGTAGTCCTGCTTCAGCGAGCTGCACGCGCAGCGGGACCACCACGCCGTGGAAAAATCGACCCACGTCCCAATGCACCGCCATGGACTCGAAACCGACGTGCGAGGCCACTTCATAGCAGAGGGTTCTAAGCAGAGAGCTCTGCAAGGCTGGTGGACCCTTAACTGCGGCACCCCAAAAATCCATGTGCGCTCTATTTCATTCAATCATATCACCACGCATGCGCACATCCACACGATGACACGTAGAACACAAAGACACCGCACGTAAATCGGACACGCTCACAGGGAGCATGGCCATGACGTTGACCAGGCACTGGCAAGGAAAAACGAGCTCTTGCTCGACCCGCCCGAAGATCTGAAAGGCCCCGTCGAGCGCGCGCCCAGACGAAGAGAGCCATGCACGAGGAGACCGTTGATCCGCTCCAGTGACGGTAGCAGTAGAGACACGATGACAACCTTGAAGAAGATCCTGGACTTCGAGCTCCGGGGCCGGCAGAACGGCAAGCTGAGCCGCCGCTATCAACTCCCCAAAGGCGCCGTTGAGGAGCCCCGCGCGATCACTCTCAGGGGTCCGCCAACTTCCCCAGATGAGCTCACGATGTTTCATCATGTCTGGAAGGGGTCTGCGCAACCTCTTCGACGCCTTTCAGCAGGCACTGAAAAAAGCACCCTGTCATCCGACTTAAGCCACTTCTGGATCTTCGGGGCACCTCCAGGGAAACTGGCGCGGAGCCACTCGGGAATCCCAGCCTCTGCCCCCGCTTCAGATTTGACCCGAGCCCGCGTGCAAACAAAAGCGGCCCTGCCGACGAACTCGCGGACGGCGCCCACGCAATCAAAGATGCTGCCAAGCGCCCAAGACCACCACGAGGCTTCAGCGGGCTCGTGGAGAGGCCCCACATGGAACTGCGGCTGGCCCGACAATAGTCGCAGCAGAGCCGCCAGATCAGACGATTGCCTGTAAACAGGAGGTCTCGCCAAACACTTCCAAATGCAATATAGTCGCGAATGGGCCAGGGACCAGAAGCGGAGGCACTTACACACGAAACTCCGCTCCTGACAACCACGTCTCCTCAGCGAGCCAGAGACCGCCAGCCCGCGCAACGACGCGTGATCAGGTTGAACGGCCGCGCGCGTCCTGGACAGGAACGTGTACTCGGAGGCCCTGGGCCACAGCGCGCACGCCCGAGAGGGGTCCAAGGACGCGCGCTCAGCCGAATGCCCAAAGCAAGCATCCGAGACGCCCTCCGGAATCACAACCTCCAAATCATCCTGCAGAGCCCAATTATAAACATACAACCAGGTGTTATCAGGACCCATGGCAGGAAGAAACAACACGCACCTGAATCTACGAAGCACCGCCATGGACACCACGTCCTCGTCGATAGCTGCCTCGAGACAAGCATGCGTGTTCAGCAGGGCGCCCACGACCGCAGGCAGAGGCACAGCGCGCGCGAAATTGCGGGAGCAAGCGAGAGTGCCGATCATGGCCCCACCCGCATCACAGGTGAACTCCACACTAGACGGAACAATCGGGCGTGATCTTGTCAGCTCAAACCATCCAGATTCACCCAGGCCCTCATAGGCATTGTCAAGTCACCCAGGAGAAACCACTGGATCGCCAAGGTCCGAATAAACTGGCACATAGCACGCATACGACACATGTATTCACCCGCCATACGAGTAGACGGCACCAGATGACAAACTCCAACAGCGACCGAGAAACCACGCAGCTTGAGCTCCAAAAGTAGCCAACACGTTCCAGACCCAGCCTGCGTAACACACGGGCACATCTTCAAGAACCTCTGGAAAGCCAGGCCCTCGTGGACCAACCTGCCGACTCCTCCGTGCGTGCCACCTCCAGGAGAATCCTCAGCAGCCTGGAAATACAGGGGCCACCCCATAGCACGAGCATCCTTCTTGGCCTTCGGAAGTGCACCATGCCGCACATGGTGTTCAGCCACCAGAAAACCAGCATCAGCCTTAGAGAGATATTCAGCCACATATCCCTCAGCAAGCGTGGACCACGAGGTGGGATTAGCAAACGACAACTGCAACGGTTCACTCTTCCTGCGCACACGCCACTTTTCTGCACGTACTGGCTTGCTAAAGAGAGTGCCCGCCTCCAGCGGGCAAAGGCTGAAACTGGGTGGCCGCTGCTTAACAAAAGGTGGAAGCGCGAAGGCGTGACTGGCACGCTTGCCCGCGCGAGACTCAGCGGCCCTTCGCACCAGGTTGCTATACCGCTCGGAATCATCGGCGCTGGGTCCCGACTCAGCAGCACGCTTACGAAGATCACGCAACTCAGCAAGGCCACCCACATCACCCACGTCGGTAACCTCACTGCTGTCGTCCCCCATCTGAAACTCACGCCCAATGGCCTGGGCGTCGGCCCACGCCAACATAACCTTCCATTGAACGACACCAACGGCAGACTTCCCCTCAAAGCGCGCGAGGTCGGGCTCCTCGAGGGCGCGCAGGTTGGACTCGACCCAAGCGACGCCCACCGTACCCGCAGGCGCGAAACCAGGAACATAAGGCCCAGGCACATGAGCAGGAGCGGGATCGGAGCCATCAGGAGGAGCACCATGTCTTTGATCACGCGCACGATCTGAATGAAGACCAGACTAGGCAGGTCCAGGCTGAGCATGCGCCGCACCTGTATGAGCCCTCTCCGCCGGCACCTGCGCTGAAGCCGCCTCAGCTGCAGCCGCCTCTGCCTCAGCACGTTCTTGCTCCCGTAGCTCAGCACGGAACTGGTTCTCGTCGAAGTTGTCCTTGGCCGCCGCTGCCGCCCGCAACGCAGCCTCCGACTTAGCATGCCACCGCTGAGGCTCGATATGCTTCTCCTCCGCCTTCTCGAGCGCCTCACAACGTCGGAAGAGAGCTTCATGCTTCTGCTGTACATCTGCTGGGGCCACCCGCTCCCTACGGCTCGACTGCTCCACCTCACGGGACAACTCAGTGCGCCTCGCCAAGATGTGTTTCTCGATAGAGTTCTCCGGCGCAGGCTCACCAGCGACGGGAGGGGGCGGCGGCGGGGCTGCCTGGATCTCGCGCAGGGCGCCCGCCATGTGGGGGCACCTCTCCGCGAGGGAGCGGAGCTCGGCAGCAAAGGGGCCAGCATCACCATGACCAGGAGCACCAGGAGCGGGACCACCAGGAAGAGCACCTCCAGGAGGAAGGTACTCGCCCCCGCACTTGCTGCACACCCAGTTGCCGAAGTGGTCGAACTCCCAAGTGGCCACACGACCCGCAGACCGAGTATGCAGGGCGGCGACGGGCCCCGCCGCCCTGTCGCGGCTGCTGATGCCACTTGCCCGTGCCGCGCTGCCTCGCCGCCTGTGTCCACGGGGCACGCGACCGCCATGCCAAGGAGACTGGATACACGGAATGCTCCACCAGGAGCTCACAAGTGAAATTCGAGACCACGGTGCCGCGCACAGCCTGGACGTGGTGCCACAAAGCTCGGGCAAATGCCACGGATGCACCCAAGCCTAACCGTGATCCGGCACGCCACTGTACCATCACACGTTTAGCATTGAGCCAATATGGCTATGGGGAGGAGGAGGAGGAGGCGGAGGAAGAGGAGGAGGAGGAGAAGGAGGAGGAGGAGGAGGAGGAGGAGGGAGACTGGGAAGGAGGAGGAGGAGGAGAAGGAGGAGGAGGAGGAGGAGGGAGGAGGGAGGAGGAGGAAGGGATGGGAGGGAGGAGGAGGGAGGAGGGAGGAGGGAGGGAGGAGGAGGAGGGAGGAGGGTGAGCAGGAGGAGGGAGGAGGGAGGAGGGAGGGGGAGGAGGGAAGGAGGGAGGAGGGAGGAGGGAGGAGGGAGGAGGAGGAGGAGGGAGGAGGAGGAGGGAGGAGGGGGAGGATGGGAGGAGGAGGAGGAGGTGGGAGGAGGGAGGAGGAGGGAGGAGGAGGAGGGGAGGAGGGAGGAGGGAGGAGGGAGGAGGGAGGGAGGGAGGAGGGAGGAGGGAGGAGGAAGGGAGGAGGGAGGAGGGAGGAGGGAGTAGGGAGGGAGGGAGGAGGGATGGAGGGAGGAGGGAGGAGGGAGGAGGGAGGAGGGAGGATGGAGGAGGGAGGAGGGAGGAGGGAGGGGGGAGAGGGAGGAGGAGGGGAGGAGGAGGAGGAGGAGGAGGAAGGAGGAGGAGGACGGAGGAGGAGGAGGAGGAGGAGGAGGAGGGAGGGGGGAGGAGGCAGGAGAAGGGAGGGGAGGAGAGAGGAGGAGGAGGAGGAGGAGGAGGAGGAGGGCGAGGAGTAGGAGGAGGAGCCGCGGGGCCTGGCCGCGTCCCGCAGCCACTGCGGCGGCAGGTGCCACGAGCAGGCGCCGCACAGGCACGGCGCGTGCCACAGCGCGGCGGAGCGGGACCACACGCCGCGGCGTTCCGACTCGCACCACGCCGCGAGCGCGGAGGAGGCGACCGGGCAGATCGCCTGCACGATCACCTGCGGCGGCGTCGTCGTCGTCATCGTCATCGTCGTCGTCGTCGTCATCGTCGTCGTCGTCGTCGTTATCGCCTGCACGGTCGCATGCGGCGGCGGGCTGCGGAGCGTGCTGCTGCTGCCCCATCCCTTGGCGGCTTCCCCCAGGGGGTCAAGCAGCATCTGGGATGGAGCTCCGATCGTTCCAGGCTGGACGCTGTCCCCCCCCTCCCTTCCTGGAGGCCGCGCCTGCGTCCGTGGAGGCCCTCTTGCCTCCCTTCGCGCCGTCTGGGACTCCGTGCTTCGTGCGCGGGCCCGCCTGCGCCGCCGCCCATCGCAGGTTGCCGTGCCAGGGCGCCGCCCGGGCGCGGCTCTCGTCTGCGTGCCCGCCTGTGATTCCTGGAGGCTCTCTTCTCGCGTCCTGACACGGCGGCGATCGACCCGCGACCCTGAAGCGTCCGATGCCCTGGGCCCCTTCCCAAACTGCCGCCCCCGCCCCTCCCCCGCTGGCTCACTGCCCCCCCGAGCCCTCCTCGTCCCCACGGCTGGGCTCGCCCCGAGGTCCTGGCCAGACACCCTGGAGGGGCCCGGGGAGAGGCACCCAGGGAGGGCATCGAGGAAGGAACCATGGGAAAAAGAATCCACGGTCTGGGAGCGGGTGGAACTCCAATCGTTGGCCGGACATGGATATCCTTAAGTCGGGCGTGTCCCCCTACAGGGGGATTTTCGAAAAATAATAAATACCCCGAAAATAATCCAAACTGGTCAATAAATACTCCAAAAATAATCCCCAGACAACTTTTAAACTATTTTTGGATTTTCACCCTGTAGAGGGACAGGCCCGATTTACGGATATCACTGCCGCCCTCATCAGATGAGGGATCCTCCAGGGTCTGAGGCTTACCGGGCACATTCCTTAACCAACGCCCTTACTGCATGATTGATTCCACAGCCCCCCCCCGTCCTGGTGGTACTGGGTGATACAGAAGGCGCATTCCGTGACATGCACAGCAGAGGTCGAAGGTGGCATTGACGATAAAAATCGTTGATGCCTCAGCTCCAAAGAGCCCCTGTTCCCCCCTCCTCTGACCCCCTCCCTCCACTTACCCTTGGCCTTGAGGGGCGAATATGCTACCAACTCACTTGGGTGCATGGGGAGGTGGGGTGTGACGGGAGGCGGAGTAGGGGGCGCCTGACGTAGAGACGGGCGCGGGCGCTTGACCAAGATAACAAAAAAACTGCATAAGCGTAAATACTCAAGCTCCGAAAGTATCGGTGTATGCCGTTACTTTGTTTTCGACCAGAGAAAAACGCCAGACCAACAGAGGGACGCAGGACCCAGAGACGCGCGCCCCTGGCTGGCTCCCCCCCGAAAGCCAACCATTTTGTCCGAAGCCGTTTCATCTGGACGAGTTGATCCGGACGAATACGCCTGGACAACTTCTTCCAGACGAGATCATCCGAAGACGAGGCCATCCGAAGACGAGACCATCCTCCTCCTAAGTCGGGGCTAGGACGAGGATAAGTCCGTGCCATGGCTTTCTGGAACGCTCTCAGAGCGTTCCGGAACGCTCTGAGAAGGCAGCGGCGCCCGATGCAAGTTCCAAAGCCGCCAGATCTCAGAGATTCCGGTCTCTTCCTCACCCGAATTTATCCTCGCCCTTGCTTCGTCAGTGGTAGGAGGAGCAGGGAGGAGGCTGGCAGGAGGAGGAGAAGGAGGAGGAGTGACACGGGTTCATCCTTGTCCTAGCCCCGCCCGACCCCTCCCTTACGACTACCCGACCGCCCGCCGCAGGGAGGTGGGAGAGAGAGGGGGGGCGCTGGGCTCGGGAGGGCGCGGCGCCCGGGGCGCACAGGAGGAGGAGGCGCGCTCGGCTCTGTGGGCAGGTGCGTGGGCCGGCGAGGAGGGCGATGGCGAAGACGTTAGGTTGGCGGGTCGGCGCGAGGGGCGGGCGGCGAGGAAGGAAAGCGGCAGAGTCAGCCAGAGGGGGGAGCGAGGAGGAGCGAGGAGGAGCGAGGAGGGAGGGAGGTGGGGGAGCCGGATGGACGAGGGAGAGGATACGTCAAGTTCGATGTGTGTACACACTGGAGCGACGAACGGAAGCGGGCCCTGCGCGAGGAGACGTGGCGACCTCACGCCGCAGCTTACGCGGGCAGCCAGCGCGGCACGCCACGCTCGAGGGCGCTGGCGCGCGACCTGACGCGGGCAGCTTACGCGCGAAGATCGGCGCAGACAACCCCGTTTTTTCTCCGCCGCTCACTTTTCGGGAGCGGCCAAGAGGGGGGTGTCCAAGAAGGGGGGGTGCAAATCTTGACTGGCGGCACGTGCGCCGCCCAGCGGGGGGGCCAGGGACGTGATGAGATAAGAAGAGGCGCCATGAAATCTGGGGAAATATCATGACCCACGCCATGATATCCACCCCCCTAGTCGTCACCCCCCTCTTTCCCGCCCCCGAAACTGTACAAATATGTGGCTTGAGGCCGGGACTGGAGATGGTGAAGGAGAGCACGCAGTCCCCAGCACGCTGGGCCGTGTACACCACCGACCGCAGAGGCGCCCAGGGAGGAAGCGATGGCCCATGACATCACATCCGCAGGAGCCCTGGCCATCGCTCGGACGTCCATTTCCCGTGCATTTTTCGGTGTCGTGCGTGTTTTTTTGGCTCGATGGTCCAGGATGGTCCTGGATGGTCCTCGCCGAGGAAAAGTGCACACGTCCGAGCGATGCCAGGAGCCCCGCCCAGACCCGGCCCAGAAGTCCGCCCCCGAAGGGAGGACGAGGAGCAGCGGCAGCAGCAGAAGCAGCAGGGGCTCGGGGGATGTTTCATTCGACGGCCAACCCTCCATCCAGCCACCAGTGACTGCAGCGGCGTGGCGAGCGCAGCGGCGGGGCACAAACGAGCCCTAGATTGGCCATCGCTCGGACGTCCATTCCCTGTGTTTTTTCCGGTTTCGTGCGTGGTTTTTCGCCAAGTGATCAAGGATGCTCCTCGATGGTCCTCGCCGGAGGAAAAATCCACACGTCCGAGCGATGCCAAGTAGATCGGGCAAAACGTGTCGAGGTCAACAATGACGCCAGCCGTTTCAGGATGGAGCCCACGTTTCAACTTCGTCCACGGACTGCAGTGACACACGCTCTGGTGTGGCTTGCAAGGCCCAGAGCCAAGGTAGCCAGCCTGGCACCTGACGCCATGTAATGACAGAAAACAGCGCTGGCAGACACACAAGGAAAAGTCGCCGGAGCAGTCCACAACGGTGCCCGAGATCACGGAAGGCTGCGGGCTGCACGCGTAAAGAAAGGGAGCAGCATCCCCCTGCCGGCAAACGCAGCGAGTTCCCCCTCCTCCCCCTCAAGCAAGCAATGCAGCACCAACAACGGCCAACCCAGTGCCACCTGCGGGGGGCGGTCGACGCCTGCGGAAGCGCAGGCGGGACAGCGATACGCCGGACGCGTGTACCCATGTCCGGACGAGGCCAAAGTGGGAGCAGCTTGGCAGCAAGGCGCCCTACCGCCCTAGCGACGCCAGATGCCAGATACCTACCCTCAGACGGCAAAGGCGCGGGACGCAATAATGCCGCCTGCTTGGCCGACACGGCTGTCCATGCGCTGCCTTGCCACAGACAGCAGTCCCAGTCGTCAGTGGTCCGATCCACGTCGAGATGAGCACGAACCTTGATCAAGGTTATGTTGGACCAGTGCTCAATGACAAACTCAGCGATACAAGAAAACATGCGGTTGGCCGAAGCCCGTTCAGGCCAAGGCAATGCCGCAAAATCAACGCAATTCTGGCGGTCAGAAAAAAAACAGCGCACCGACCCGCGGACCATTGGATCGATTCAGACAGAGCGTGAAACTCGGCCGCCTGCGGGGTCTGGGGGCACGGTGCCCATACGGGCCCCCCAACACGAACAATCACACGACCACAACGTCTGCACACCAGGGTGAGAGCTCAGCTGGCGCGGACGAGTTCGGGAACGAGGACCCTAGAGCACGACCCGACCCACCGAAAAACAACGCAGAGGAAAAGCCAATATGACGATCAGGACGCGGGCGAGGACGACGAGGAACGTGAAGGTCCCTCTGCTTACGCCAACTCCCCATCTTCGCCTCAATAGATGAAGAAAAAACGCCGTAAACATAAACTGTTGGCGCTCCGCGCGGATTACTCGGATCTGCGCTGGATCCCCCAGCCTGGCGCGCGGAGCGCGCCAGGGGCGGCGCCGGAGGCGCCGCCAGGACGCTCCAGCGCAGATCCAAGAAATCCACGCGGAGCGCCAAAAGTTTATGTTTCTGGCGTGCTTTCTTCTTCGATTCAAATGCCCTCCCCTGTGCCCACGCTTCCTCCCTGCCACCTCCTGCCAACTACAACGTAGACCGAAATGCACATTTTCCCCTTTGAGCTGGCGGCGACGCGACCGCATCCGGAATCCGCTATGGTGTCCCCACAACAACAAGGCCGGGATGGGGGGGGAGAAGGAGGAGGAGGAGGAGGAGGAGGAGGAAGGAGGAGGAAGGAGGAGGAGGTGGAGGAAGAGAGTGTGGTGAAAAGCGCACATGGGGCCTACGCACCAGTGTGGCCTCCGGGAAATCAGCCCTCAGGGCAGCCTGGAAGTCGTCGGCCGTGGATGCTGCAGAACCGAAGTCATGGAGCACCTCGCACCACGCGCGCGTCGGCAGAGCCGCACCGCTGCCTCACGTCTGCTGCGCAGGAAAGGGGTGCATGCCGCACTACCCGCACCACTCGAAGATGACGGAGTCGTGCTGCTGTTGCCGTTGACCCGTCGTGCTGCTCGAAGGCGTGCTGCATGTGGCCGTCGTAGGGCTGGAAATAGAAGCAGGCGACGCCCTGCCCGAACCCGCCCCGAGTGCAGCACAGGCTGTAGCGATATTGGCTGCACGCGCGGCAGCACTTTGTCCCCAGAGCGACACCCATCTGTCGAGCCCAAGCGCATGGCATCGAAGCCTGCGCTACAAAGGGTATCCCCCTCATCGTCGCGAACCTACTGCTTCACATCCTCCGGCTCCTCCTTCGTTCCATCCTTCTCTTCCGTCTCCACCTCCTTCTGCTCCTCCTCCTTGTCCGCCTCCCCACTCCTGTCCTTCTCACTGCTCCCTGGTCCCTTGTCCGTCTCCGTATCATGTTGCTCCTCCTCCTCCTCCTCCTCCTCCCTCCTCCTCCTCCTCCTCCTCCTCCTCCCTCCTCCTCCTCCTCCTCCTCCTCCTCCTCCTCCTCCCTCCTCCTCCCTCCTCCCCCTCCCTCCCCCTCCTCGCTATGCCCTCATCGTGCTTCTGCTTTTCCTCCTCCTCCTCCTCCACTTTTCCCCACCCCCACCCCCACCCCCAAGCTATGTGGTGCAGCATACGTCAGTCAGTCAGTCAGCCGAGCCGTGCGAACATACATCGCATTGGCAGATGAAAACAAGTGATTCTGAAACCAATCAACGCCAATGATCGAGCAAGCAGACCACCGACCCACCTGCAACTCGATGGCAGACTCGACTGGCTCAACGACGCGAGGATCCTTTTTCATGCAGATCCACGACTCGGGCGGGCAAGTGAATGTGATCATGGTGACGACGACATCGGTGAACATGGTGACGACGACATCCTCCTCCTCCTCCTCCTCCTCCTCCTCCTCCTCCTCATCATCATCATCATCATCATCATCATGATCCTCATCCTCATCCTCTTCCTCCTCTTCCTCCTCTTCCTCATCCTCATCCTCATCCTCATCCTCCTCCCCCTTCTCTTCTGCATCGTCGTGCCCTTGTCTTGCTTCTGCTCTTCCTCCTCCTCGTCCTCCTCCTCCACTTTTCCCATTCTCCGACCCCCACGCACGTTGATAGTACGCACCCAGCACAGCCACAGTCCAAATGACACTCCTCCTTCTTCTGCTGGAGCACCACCAGCAGCAGCAGGAGGGGCGAAACAAAGAGGAAGAGGAGGACGACGAGGACGAGGACGAGGAAGAGGGACACAGATGAGAAGGGAGGAGAGAAGAGAGGAGAAGGAGGGGGAGAGGGAGAGAGAGAGAGAGAGAGAGAGAGAAGCGGGAGAAACGGGCGGGCGGCGGAGGGGGGAGGGAGAGGAGGCTGGCCGACGGGGCGGGCGGCGGAGGAAGCGCGTGCAGCCGGAGCGGGACGGGGGCGGGTCGCCTGCGAGCTCAGGGAGCAGAGCGCCGGGTAGACGCCGAGGTGGCTGCTCTCGGCCTGCCGCCCCCCCCCCCACACCCCAGCAGGCCGTCCGAGGCCAGACGAGGCGCACCCAGACTCAAACCACACTCTCTTTCTCCTCCTCCTCCGCCTCCTCCTCCTCCTGTTTCTTCTTCTGCTGTTTCTTATTATCGTTCGTCTTATTATTAGTAGTATTAATATTCGTGGTATGCTTCTTGTTGTTATTATTACTATTAATTTATGATTGCACACTAATAATCCGCCGACCCTGTCGGCGTGTGTGAGGGGCTTTTCCGTTCGAGCCGTCATCTCCGTCATTCTTTGTACTCGTCGTCTCTGTCCTTCCCTTTCCCTGGGACTCCTCTTCCCCTGGGCTCCAGCCAAGCCGACCTTGAGCAACGTCGTAATTCAGTCGAAGGGAAGCCCCTTCCCTTTGATCCCTCCCCCGCCGGGAGGGGGGGGGGTAGCGGGGGGGGGGCGGGGTCACATACGACGCCCCGCCCGCAAGTAATGGTAAGGTGTTTAGCCGCGCCCGAGCCGCTCGAGCCAAGCCGACCTTGAGCAACGTCGTAATTCAGTCGAAGGGAAGCCCCTTCCCTTTGATCCCTCCCCCGCCGGGAGGGGGGGGGGGGTAGCGGGGGGGGTAGCGACCCCCCCCGGGTCACATACGACGCCCCGCCCGCAAGTAAAGCCCAAGAGCGCTCGAAGAGGGCCGCCCAGCCGCCCGAGCCGCGCCCGAGCCGCTCGAGCCAAGCCGACCTTGAGCAACGTCGTAATTCAGTCGAAGGGAAGCCCCTTCCCTTGATCCCTCCCCAGCCGGGAGGGGGGGGGTAGCGGGGGGGGTAGCGACCCCCCCCCCCGGTCACATACGACGCCCCGCCCGCAAGTAAAGCCCCAAGAGCGCTCGAAGAGGGCCCCCAAGACAGCCCCAGGACGGCAGCTGCAGAGGCGACACCACCACCAGCAACACCATCACCATCGCCAGCAGCAACCGAACCACCAGCAGCACCAGCGCCACCAGCAGCAACAGCAGCAGCAAGACAAGCACCAAGACCAGCCGCCGCACCACCACCGGCCGAATAGCACGACCACCAGCTAAAGTACACCTCCCTCCCCCACCTCCTCCTCCTTCTCCCCTCCCCTCTCACACTCGTACGGACTATGTCTCTTGCTGTTCATAGCGATCAGGGTCGGCGGCACCGGCCGTAAGGCCTTCGCAATAATCATAATAATACTATCATTACTATTACTTGTATTAGTATTCGTTTATTGTTGATTGTATTATTAATCATAGTATTGTTACTGTTATTCTTGCAATTACCATGAATAGTCATAGCTTTCCTATTTGTATCAGTAGTATTCTTACTAGTAGTATGTTATAGTGTTATGTGTATGATTCTTAATATTGTGCATATTATTCGTAACACTAGTAAAAGTACTGCTCGCATGTGTCTTAGTTGGAGTCATCTATGTAGTATGCTTACTATTCTGAACAGTAGCGTTATGATGAGCATTCGCATTACTATTTTTATTGCTAGTAGTCGTTTCCTTAATATTATTATCATCATCCTCCTCCTCCTCCTCCTAGTGTGCCTCATCTTCCTCCTCCTCCTCCTCCTCCTCCTCTTCCTCCTCCTCCTCCCCATCCCCCTCACCCCTCCTCCTCCTCCTCCTCATCCTCCTCCTCCTCCTCTTCCTCCTCCTCCTGTTCCTCCTTTCCTCCTCCTCCCCCTCCCCCTCCCCTCCTCCTCTTCCTCATCCTTTTCCTCCTACTCCTCCCCCTTCCCTCCTCCTCCTCCTCCTCCTCCTCTCCTCCTCCTCCTCCTGCTCCTCCTCATGCTCCTCCCCTCCTCCTCCTTCTCCCCCCCTCCTCCTCCTCCTCCTCCTTCCCCTCCTCCCCTCCTCCTCCTCCTTGTCCTCCTCCTCTTCCTCCTTTTCCTCCTCCTCCTCCTCCTCCCCTCCTCCCTCCTCCTCCCTCCTCCTCCTCCTCCTCCTCTCTCCCCCTCCTCCCCCTCCTCCCCTCCCCCTCCTCCTCCTCCTCCTCCTCCTCCTCCTCCTCCTCCTCCTCCTCCTCCCTCCTCCTCTCCCCTTTTCCTTTTCCTCTCGTCCTCCTCCTCCTCCTCCTCCTCCTCTCCCTCCTCCTCCTCCTCCTCCTCCTCCTCCTCACCCCTCCTCCTCCTCCTCCTCCTCCTCCTTCTCCTCGTGTGCAGCTCCTCTTTTCTTCCTTCCTCCTCCTTCTTCCTTTCCTCTCCTCCTCCTCTCCTCCTCCTCCTATTCCTCCTCCTCCTCCTCCTCCTCCTCCCTCCTCCTCCTCCTCCTCCTCCTCTCCTCCTCCCTCCTTCTCCTCCCTCCTCCTTCTACTCCTCCTCCTCCCATCCTCCTCCTCCTCCTCCTCCCTCCTCCTCCTCCTCCTCCTCCTCCTCCTCCTCCTCCTCCTCCTCCTCCTCTTCCTCCTCCTCCTCCTCCTCCTCGAGTCGGAAGGAATAAGTGGACAACACGTGAAGTCCTACCGATGGTGCCTCTGGACTGGGATATTCCTGTTCTTATATCTTTATTACCCGGACCCCACCTGAACCGACCCCTCCACCCAGGGACGCCCTGGACGCCGTTTCGGACGTCTCAGCGGCTCCCTGGACGCCCTTGGACGAGGTCCGCTGGCCCTTTCGGGCCTCCCAGGGCGTCTTGCCGGGCCTTGCGAGCAGACTCAAGGCGATCAGAGGGGTCATCGGAGAGGCGCAAGAGAGATCCAAGACAGCACAAGAGCGCGCCAAGAGGAACCCCGATGGTCTGAAGACGGCCCAAGAGGCCCCCAAGACGCTCCAAGAGGCGTTGAAGACAGCCCCAAAGAAGCACACATTGTCCGCTTCTCTCCGGAAAATGGACAGAGTTTAGCATATCCGCTGATTGGGATTTTGCAGCGGCCAAGACGGCCCGATGGGCCTCCGATATCGCCCCAAGACTGCCCAAGAGGCCCCCCAGAGGGTTTGAAGACGGCCCAAAAAGGCCTCAAGACTGCCCTAGAGAGCCCCGAGACTGCCCGCAAGATGCCCAAGATGCCTCAAGAAGGCTCCCGAGAGAGACCCACGAAAGCCATGGGAGACCCCCAAGAAGGCCACTGGAGGCCCCCAAGAGGGCCCTCGATGGCTTCAGAAGACCTCCGGAGGGCCCCAGCTCCACAAGACGGCCTAAAAAGGCCCCGGGACGGCCCAAGAATGCCCCAGGACGGCCCAAAAGAGCTCCAAGAACGCCCAGACGGCGTTTTCCTACAAGCACATCGAGCTGACCCGACGATCTCGGTTATACGATTGGGGTTCGAGGTTTAAGTTCCTCGATCGAGAGAGACAGGCAATCTAGATTCGAAGTTCGACGATCGAAGATTTCCTGGGTGCCTGGAGCCCACCAGGCATTCCGTAAGCTACCAAAAATCGATTTGTTCGGAGCTACTGCGACTTCTTCGGCGTGTCATGGGAACGCCCCTTCCTTCCTCAAAGGACCTTCGCGCGTGAAAAATCATCATTCCTTCCCCACCCCTGCGCACAAGCGTGCAAGCGCATCGGGCGAACGCGGCGTCAGCAGGCACCAAGGATATCAGAAAAATGAGCCGGTCGCCCGTCCAGGCTTCGAGGTCCCCCCCGCTGAAGCAAGCGATGATTGATTGCTTTGCCAGGGAGGGTCCGGAACAAAGTGCATGACGCGAAGCGCAAATACAGTCTTGTGTATATATATACAAGTGGCACGCGTGTGCCCAGGCTCATACAACAAACTGAAGGGGCGTTTGAAGCAGGAGTGAAATGCAACATCGAAGTCGCACTCGAGCGCAAGTGGGGTTGCCACACCTTGCGATGTGTGTACCAGGGCCCCCAGGAAGCCTTAGGAGGCCCGACTTGGATACCAGAAGAGGCTCCAGGAGGCCCCAGGATTGTGAGTGTTGTGCGTGTGTGTGTGTGTGTGTGTGTGTGTGTGTGTGTGTGTGTGTGTGTCTGTGTCTGTGTGTGTATGTGTGTGTGTGTGTGTTTGTGTGTGTGTGTTTGTGTGTGTGTGTCTGTGTGTGTGTGATGTATGCTTCGTGTGGTGCGTGCGTTTTGTGTGTTGTAGGTGTTGTGTGTGTGTTATGTTTGTCTAGCGTGTGATGTGTTGGGCGTGCTTTGTGTCTCTGTGTGCATGTAGTTCTGAAGCCCCAGGAGGCCCCAGGAGGCCCCAGGCAGCCTCAGGAGGCCCCAGGAGACCCCAGGAGGCTTCAGGAGGCCCCAAGAGGCTCCAGGAGGCCGCAGGAGGCCCCAGGAGGCCCCAGGAGGTGTCAGGACACCCCCAGGAGGCTCCGAGGCGGGGTCTGGGGTGCCAGAAGGTTCAGAAGGATCAGGAGGCCCCAGGAGGTTCCAGAAGGCCCCCAGGAGGCTCCGAGGCGGGGTCTGGGGCTCGATTTTGGAATGATTTTTCAAGCGAAACCGCCATTCACTGAGAATCGGGGTCACATTTATTGAAATTACCATGTGTGTTTTGAAGGTTTTATGTTAAAATGGTGAAGTTCCCATGTGTTTTTGGACCCTGACGTCGCGATCTGCGTGACGGGTGCCACCGATTTTCAGAATGTCGAGGATGTCCCGAGCGAAACGCCCAGAAACATCGCGGACGCGTGCGCATTAATCGCCTCTGAGCTCTACTCCCTCGGAGAGGTGCGTATGAGAATATGGATATAGATCAAAACATCCTGGGAAGGCCAGCCAGGGGAAGAAAGGAATCTCTGAGTCGGATCGCTTCGTATCCGCCCTGAACATATTGCTAACCAGCGCGCTCCGCAAGGCGACACTGGCACGTCCTGCACCCCCTCATTTCGGCACGCAGCCAGGCGGGGTCAGGCTCCACAGGCATGTGGCGTCACCCGCCATAACCCCTAGAGAGAGCAGGGGCAGGAGGAAGTGGATCACGACTGGGATCCCCTGAGGCAGAATTCACAAACAAGAAGCGAGGCATAAGCACGAACACACACACACACACACATACACACACACACACACACACACACACACACACACACA